TATATATATATAGTATTTTTTCCTATCACTTCTTGTTCTTCTTGCGCTTAAATTCATTTATCATTGAGCTTTGTTTCGTTAAATTAGTTTACTTTTTCTTGATCAAAGTTATAATATATATTTTTACGATGTTGCTTTCTTTAATTTCCGCACTTTTGTCTGTAGTTGCTCGAAAAAGTATTTTGGAGTATGTTAAGAAAACATATTATTGTCAAAAGGCTTATTGGCAAAATGGCAAATGTTCTCCTTTCTCGATCCGTTAGAAAGTCAAGTTAGAAGTTGTACAAATATAAATATGCTCGAAAGAATCCCAAGAATTACCAGTCTACGCGATTTTACGCATACACGCATAATGTAACGAAAAATTTATCTGAACATACATAGTTCATTGTTAACTATGTAAATCTGTGGGCAATAATAATAATCTGCCGGTCGTGTAAACACAATTTCTCGAGGACGTTGTGCGCGAACGCGTAGCAAATCGTTTTTCAACAACAGAGTGATATTTCACACGTGACATTTTCGCATATCCGAGCGTAATTGCAAGGCCACGCGGCGCGGCGGTGCAAAACATCGAGATCGCTAGGCGTTGGCCTCGTCTCAGATTGGCACCGTCTAAGAAAATTCAGACATCGCATGAATGAACGTGGAAATAGTTCAGCGTACGCTGTAGTATTTTTTTTTTTTTTCCATTTTACGATGTGGAAACGATCAATCTGAGATTCAACTCGCTGATAGTTCTTTCGAAGAACAAGACTGAGACAGCGAAGTGTCAAAAGTGTTCCCCGATGAACACTAGTTCCCGACAGTTTTTGCTTTTGCTCGTTACTTTTAAGTGGACTTAATTAAGCTTCATTTGCGATATACATGGAAGCTAACAGAGCCTCGAGCTGCTAGCCTTGACCCAGTCTCGTGTCTTCGACCAGTCTCCTCTTCTCCACTTCCACGTTCTACCGCGCGCTTTAAAACTTGAACCTTAGGCGACGCTTATCGGAGGCAAAGATACGCAGCATAAAAATATCGGCTAATACGCGTTTGATATCGCTTCCTTTTATCAATGCCAATGATCGTGAACGAATCGATTGTTGGCTCTTAACGTGAGAATCTCTTTTTGTATCCTCAAGCTATTCCACGTAAATATTTGAAATTGATTGTACGACAAAAATGAGGAAAAGATTGTTTAAGATACTTTTATTTGTTTATTATGCGCTTTATATATATATTGTACTTGTAATGACGTACACAGGAACATTCTGTTATCTCATTCAATCCTCCTCACAGTAATCCCATTCCTCCTCACGACATCGAGGATCGGTACATGGATTTCTAATTGGATTCGTAGTTACTGTATCGCGTTTTCCGATACCTAGAATAGGCAGCAATCCTGGCGGATTTAGAACAGAGATTTGTGTTAATCAATGAACGCCTACGTTATATAAAAATTTTGTGAATTATCGTGACAGCGGTAATACTTCGACCTCTTACAATTATTTGGAATAGAATGCCGTTTAATAAATCAGATATTTTTCGATCAACTTTTCACGCGTTTTGCGAAACACATAACTCTTGTGGAATTGTTAAATATTCACGAGAACTTAACGAACCAGAAACAAAGTGGGATAAACAAAATGATATAAACAACCTGGGAGAAATAAACTGTTTATTATATCACTTATTTTATCAATAAGTTGACCTACATATTTGATTTTCCATACACATGCTTGTTGTAACCACTCAATGCTTGAATAGTTTTCAATGGAATGTTGTACTATTCTTTCAGCAGAATATCTTTCAATTGCTTATATGTATAAATGATGGAGGTAATAAATGATATTGGAGGCAATAAATATGATATTGGAAAGAGGAAATTTTCTATTTACTCTATTTTTTCAAAATTGCCTTTCTGTTCCCCAAAACATTTTTCCTGGCCAATGCCTAACTTAAATATTATTCGTACATTTGAAGAGCAGAAACATATTTTTTTCTTCTAATACCTTTTAAGGCTTTTAAACAATTAGAAGATGTTCTGCTAAAAGGATGATATAATATTAGGTTAAGTAAAAAGTCATCGCGTTTTTTTAAAAGACATCTATCAGTAAAAACCGCAATTACTTTCTTACCAATAATATAAATATATCTTGATAGAGTAAAGATTCAGCTTTAAAAATCTCTTTTTTAAATTATACGATACGACAATTTTTAATGGAGTTATGAGCAATTAAAGTCAAAATAATTCTTTTATTTAATCCGCGATAACTCAGTAATCAAAAGTCGTAGGAATATTAAAAAAAAAAAATTTTGTAGGGAAAGTATCAAGCTTTCACGATAGGTAATCGAAAATTTTCTCAAATTCGTTTTGGACACGTTACAAATCCACAAAGTGAGAAGAAAATTTTTCGTCTTTTTCAGCTCGTAGTTTTTGGTATGTAAAAATTATCAAACTCATATAAACTTAAAAAATGTGATAAGCTTTTAAAAGTAGAGATTTCAAGCTTTAAAACCCTTTTTTTAAATTTGAATTTCATTCATTATTGACGAAGATATTGTATATACAACTTTGAGCTAAAAAATACGCGATGACTTTTTACTCAACCTAATATAGGTTATAATTTGCACCGTAGCAATTGCTGTATACTACGAGTATTTAAGCATGTGCGACTCTATCCCAACAAGGATAGAATCTGTATTAACGAGAAATGGTAGGCCAACTTCTATTAATGAAACAAGTAGATAGTATATATTTTTCATATTATTTTGTCTATCCTTTGTAGGTTTTGAATATGTAACCATTATATGTTATATGCTATTTTGAGAGGCGCGTAGAATATATATTATATGCTTGACATTAGACCTTTAAGTTTTTCCATTATAGTAGTTTTATCCTGCTCCTCTTCCTCCTCCGTCGCCGGCTTCTTCACGCTCTGATAGATCGTGCATCCGATACCGAAGATGTGATTAAATACGAATTGAGCGGTGCAGAGCACCATAACCATGAGAATGGGCAGGCAGAGACTGGTCTCGAAATCGTCGAGGAACAAGTTCACCGATTCCGGTAGCAGGTCAGTAGACATTCTCGCGTGAAAGTCTCGCTCCCTGTAGTTTAACCTTTACACTTTGATTTTGCGATATTGAGAATAACTGTCGACCGTTCGAAGATCATTATCGCCCTTTCGTCTTCATTATCATCGTCGTGAAGCTACTCGATTTTGTAATTTTTATATGTAAGAGTCTCCTCGAAAACGGACCTGTCAATTTCGTTGTGAGGAGATCTTCGTCTCGTGCACTCATATGTTCGTCACTTGATAATGTGAATTTGGCGGCAATCAACACGCATGCGGCATGTTTTCTACAGGCACGATAAGGAAATAAATAAAACGAGACCGTCAATTAATAAATATCTTTATTAACGTTCATGCGGTGAAGATATTAATTGATTAACGGAATTGATAAAATAAATTAACATATTTTTAACAGAAGATTGAATAAAAAGTAAGCATTTTTTAAATAATGAAAGAAAATCGTGCTTAAAAACTAGTATATTTTTATGGAAAAACGATACATTTGTACAACACATTGCTTACATGGACAAGTAACTTCATAACTTTGATAAGGAATAAAAAATGTACACTATAATAGAATTGCAGTACGTACACCAGAAAAGTCTAAATTATATCACGGAGACAGCCTAAAGATATCTGTAGGATGTCCGTATATGTAATAATTCGGGATATTTCAGTTGTGTGTGGGGGGGAGATGTCCGAATTTTGAAAATTCATGATGTAGTTTTAAAGAATACATTGTAATTGAAAATATAACATGAAAAGAAAATGAAGTTATAGAAATTGCATACTCACTTTTTAATGATATGGTGGACTTGTAGAACGTATCCAGAAAGATGGGAATCGGATCCAACTCAACAAAAGATGAAAAATGAACAAAAGCTTTATTTTGTTCATTTTTCATCAATATACAGAAAATAGGTAAGAAAAGTAATAAATAATAACATAAAACTTCTTTTCCCTTTTTTTTACTTATAGATGAATAAATGTTTATTTATAGATGAAAAAAATACAATTTTACTAATATTACTTTCAATATTACTTTCAATAATTGCAGTAAAACAAAACCGATTTGACTGAGGAGGCCATGAGATCATATCCGACCTCGATTTCATTGAAGAGTTAAAACATTGTCTCGTTCAAGATTTAAAAAATAAAATTTTTACTAAAAAGCTATTCATTTTGACTCGTTCTTTTTTTTAAATTGAAGTATCAATTTTTCTACAAAAATAATACTATTAATAATAATACTATTCTTTAGATTAGTATCCTTTCATTATTTCGAAAATTTTTTTATTTATGCCACTTTTCAACGCAACGATATAATAAAACATGTTTATTTACATTGGTAACATCAGCACGTCATCATTATCCGTAGAAAGGTTCAATTTCAATGTTGTTTGTGTATCAATGAAGAAACTGTCTTCGTTAAAGTCATCGCCCTCGATTTGTCGAAAAATCTTCGCCTCTTTCGACCGCGCGGTCATCTTCGCTATATCACTCGGGGTTGATTGAGACGGTAGAGTGATGTCAAATTCTCCCTCGGATAAGCAATAATCGTGATATTGGATCGATTGAGAGGCGTTAAAGGATGGAGAAGCCGCTACCGATGAGTTTGCAGTAAAATTCGATCCTAGATTTGCTTCGCAAAGTTGCAATGTTGTTTTCGGGGTGCTCGCCGCGAACGACGTGCAAACGTAAAATCGCGGATCGTTCAGCAAAGAAAGGTCTGGATTAACGATTGATGGACTTCTATTGACTATCTCTGGCAATGAAAGTACCTTTTGATTTGGTATAACGTCGTGCATCGACTCGTCTGCCTTCCGATTGTCATTTTCAACGATTTCCATCGGCTCATCTTGGACTTCGTTTTCGTTCACCTTTTGTTCATCTTTATTCATCGGTTCTGGTAACAAGGATACGACCTCTTCTGTCCTCGTCAAATTATTATTCGACGCAACAACAAGACTTTTTTCTTCTTCACATTTCTCTTGTTCTCTACATTCCTGCACGACGTTGGGGGATTTTACTTGAACTTGCGCTGGCTGCGCTCTATTCGTTTGCTTACTTAGATCCAATTGTTTCATGATACTTATTATATTTGCGAAAGTGAAACGATTATTGTCCAATAGTGCGCGTAACTGAACGATCGCATTGTAACATGATTTCTCCCATGACGGAGAACTCGTGATGGATCGAAAATTATTCTAAAAAAGTAAAATATTCGAATAATGTTTAATAATCATATGTGTTCGGTAATTTCACGAACATTTATATTTTATTTACAGACTCACATTTTGTGTGTTGACGGATTGCTGGGATGCGTACTCTCGCGCTTTAATTGTAACGCATTTTGGTAGAGAGGATACTTCCGCTAGAGCGATCCCATAATGATCTGTAGGTCCTCTTCCGGGATTCAATTTGTGAGTATATATCAGATGCAGATCATTCGATTCTTCCGACTCCGCGGTTTTCGTCTCGAAACAATGGCTGAAAGGCAATGGTAGAAATATCTTATTTCCATCAATTATACAGGGTGTCCCAGAATAAATGCCAAATATTTCATGCGCTGATAGAGTGGACTAAACTGACTCGAAGAATCCTCTATTATTTTGCAATTTTCGCAATAGTTAATTACTACAACAACAAGATGTTAATTACTAAAAATCGCTAAATATTAGTTTTCAATAATTTTTTTACTCAAGTACTATCAACTGTACTGAAAAACAGCGAGTGACAAAAATTGTTAATTTTCTTCTCATAGAGTTCTAAGAATTTTTTTTAGAATTTTTTAATATCACATTTTCTCATGTTGATAAAAATAGTTGCCAATATATACAGGGTGAATCAGAGTCGTTGAACCAGCTTTTTACCCTCTGAGAAAATAATTGACTGCACACGTTATAATTTAATTAGGTATGAAGTCGATAATCTTCTCATAGGGTAAAAAGTTGGTTCAACGACTCTGATTCATCCTGTATATATAAGAAAATGCAGAACTAAATAGTTGATAAAAAATTCTGAAAACATTCTTAGAGCTCTATGGTAAGAAAATCAAATAAAGTTGAATAAAAAGTTATTGAAGTCCAATATTCGGCGATTTTTAGCAATTAATATCTTGTTAACTATTACGAATATTGCAAAATA